AGCTACGGCGCCTACTCGACAGGCGCTTCCATCCGTAGAGGGAAAGACGGAGCCCGACGTCACGGCGCCTACACGACAGGTCATTCCCTCCGCGCAGGATGAAACCGAGCCAGTAGCTACGGCGCCTACTCGACAGGCGCTTCCATCCGTAGAGGGAAAGACGGAGCCCGGCGTCACGGCGCCTACACTAGGCCCACAGAGCAGTGCCGACCCTTTTAAACGCGCAACCTCCACTGCTGCCATGGTGCCAACGAGAAGAGAGGGCGTGCCCTCGGAGGTCAGAGCATCGCCGATAGCAACGCCCAATCGCGCCAGTGTGGTCGCCAGCCTGCCCGAGAGGTCCTGGACACCCAGTCAGGCGCGGTGGGTCACGGGTCCGGCGGCGCCGCGATCAGGACAGGAAGCCATCGTGCGTCCGACGGCCGGGTCAAAGGCGCTGCCCGCAAACAAGCTGGCCGCTGCGAGCCCAAGAGTGACGCCACCGCCCCGGATACAGGGAGGCAAAGTAGACAGGGACGACGTCGTTCGGGACCCACTGGTGGAGAAGCTAGGCGTCGACATCTACGACGCACCAGTCAGCAGCAAGCCACGCGTGACATTGGGGCGCAACGCACAGCCGGGTCGGTCCACCGTCGCCGTCGTCAGGCGGCGCCCGGCGGTGCGAACGAGCAGGCTGTCATCGGGGCGAGGCAAGGCGGCGGCCGGCAGGCGCACCCCCAACCGACGCGCAACAGCGCCCCGCAAGAAGCCCGAGAGCCGCGCCCAAACCCGCGCGACGGCCAAGCAGAAACAGCCCGCCGTTGTCGCCAAGCCAGCGCAGCGCAAGGCAGCCAAGCGCCCGCCAGCACCAGCGTGGGCTCGCGGGCGGGTACAGCCACCACGGCAAGCTCCGGGAGCGAAGAGACCACCCAACAAAACGTCGCGCCGCCCGCCCCGGCCGCCCCCAGGACGGCGGGCGTCTCCTGCGGGGAAGGCCAAGCAGCAGGGCAGGCGGACGAGCGCGCGCTGGCGAAAGCCGCAGAGGAGGGGCACCACTGCCCGGCGCGTCGCCGTGACCAGGCCAGTCACAAAGAAGACCGTGAGGCAGCCCGGCAGTGTGCTGTGGACACCGACACCAAGACCCCCATGACCGCGTCGCAGGGCGTCAACAGGCCGCTTGGACCCGGCCGAGCCATTGTTGCATTTTCGGACGAGAAATAGCCGCCCGGCATGGCGATCGAGTTCAGCTTCACGTTGGTGTACCGGCTGGTGGAGCTGGTACGTGCGCCGCCCACCAAAACGCATGGCAAGAGAGCAATTGTAACATCGCGCCCCTCCCAGGTGCTCATGGTGGGGTCTCTGGTCGTGACGGTGGCGGTCTCCTATCTCAAACCATTCCCGACCGACCTGACGAGGGCGTTCTGCCGCTACCTCATGGCCCTGCTGTTCGGCTACATCTTCGTCCTCACGGCGGACATAGCTTGCCGCTTCCTCGGCGGGGGCGTCGCGGCAATAGCGGTAAGAAACTGAATAATCCTTTGAATGTGTCCCCACAATGAACGTCTCACGAGGCAACGCTCATGGTAGCGCCTGCGACGCGTTGGTTAGGCCAGCCCGCCAAGCAGCTGTGTGAAAACAGCGGCCCGCCCTGAGCGCCTAAGTGCGGAAGCGTCGGGCAAGGGAGCGTTTATCGTCTGACTTTACCCCGCGCCGCCACGGGGAACGTTTATTGTGGGGGCGCCTTTACACGTTTGCACTGGCGTGACCTGACGGACAGCCCCAAGGTGATATGACGATAAGTCCGGTGAACTCGGGGCGATTGAGAGGCTGTGACCACACGTCTAGTTACACCAAAGTAGTAGTACCTAGGTGCATTCCGCTCGCAGACAAATGTGTACAATTCAATTTTTGACGCAGATGTTCGCCTTTACCGTAGTGGGCTTTGCCCTATTCACCGCTACGGCTGCCTCCCTGGGCTACAACTACTTCCAGACCACCCTCATAGTGCCACTCTTCGCGATCTTGGCCCTGGACGGACTGCTGTTGGGCATCGACGCGGTGTTGACATACGCGCGAGTCAAGAGAACGTCGCTCGTCACGGCCCCGAAACTTAGCCTCAGATGAGGTGAGGAGAAGGTTATTTAAAGCTATGCTTTTAGTACAGACCAAAGACAAAAGAATTATCTGAAACATTTATAGTCAAAATAAAATTTTCACTTTGAAGACAAACACACTTGTGACAAAACCGCAATATATTAAAGTCAGAACAATTATGTAATCAGTTTAGTTACATATGTAATAAGAACACATTTACAGGAGGTTAGAGGAGTATTAGTTTTCACAAGACTAGGTGAAAACATGCTTATTTATATTAAGTACAATGCAAAAAAAGTATTAAAAATAATGCAAATTTAGTTGCACAATATCATTTTTATAATAGTATAGTAGTTCAAATAGAACGCATAGGAATGCATAACGAATACTGTAGTAACATGCAATACTTAAATTCATAGATACAATACGAGTTTGATGCAGGAATAATAGAAACATAACTACACAATTGTCAGGAAATTTGTTACAGTACCAAGTTGACAACCACAAAATTTAATTCAAAATCTAAAATCATTACCATAAATTAAAAGACACATCATAACGAAAATCAAAAAGATATAGAGAATTGAGAACGAAAGTTAATTAGAGAAATAGAAAAGAACACACAGGAAAACCATTAAAATAAAATGATGTGCCCATTTAACAATGCATGAAGATAATTTGCAAAGACAACAATTTTACTACACACCTCTAACTAATCTTTAACAATGATAAATGAATTTCAATTGATATATCAGTTAAGACATGCAAATACAACCTCACTTTCAATCAAAAGATTATGCAGGTCATTAATAAGTCTTCTAATGAACAGAATAAATTTACAGATACAAAGTCATTTGATAACAACACCAGCCTAAAACATAACAATACTCTTACAAGCTTTGCCAAAACTGAATACAAAAATTATCTTTGCATCGCATTAAAACAGATATATTGGTACAACAAGTAACATTTCCATCACAACAGCCCCTAAAAAGAATACAAAACTAAACACATTTACCTAAAAAAATCAACTTGAAGAATTGAAGTGCCCTCTAGATGAGATACTGTAAAGTGATTGGGGTGGTTGGATAGCACGTCCAAAGTTGGCATTAGATGCATTATTGTTTGACAGAGAGAGAGATTGAAGTGCTGATGTGATTGAAGAGTTTCCATAGCCAGCACTTTGTGTTCTTGAAGGCTTCTCTTCTTTCATAAACAAATCATCAATCAGTTGGTGGTCTTCTGGAGACTGAAAACGGGAACTCCATATACCCAATTTATTGTTGTTTAAGTCAGAGGACATGTATGCTGCAGACTGCTCTTCAGCTTGCCATGATGGGTATTGAGAATACTGACAAAATCTGTCCTTTACCAGCCTTTGGTTCCCTGTATCTGAGTAACCAGAGTCCATCATTTCATTGAGGAGACCTTGGTCCCAGCTTGCAGAGCTTGATCCTGTACTGTTTGAGCTTGTTGTACTTCCATCCAAAGTTGACATTGAGAATGAGCTACGTGCACTGCCTGAACTCTCTGAGCTGAATGGTCTTTGTCCTTCTGGATCTGAGTAGAGACTGGAGTCTGTACTTCTCAACAAGTCTTGCTGTGCTCTAGCCACAAGAAGGTGATAAACAGATGACCGTGAGGTGACATGATTGACATCAGAGTTAAAGCCATATAAATCCTGGGGGGAAAAAATAATTAATTTCACTAACTTTAAAGCGCAATAAATTACTTACAAACAAAGCAGTTTCTTGATAAATTGTTTTTACCTGGTCAACAGCAGGCTTGGACTCGATGTCTGAGCTTCTCTGTCTCATCAGCGGTCTTTGAACTGCGGGCCCATCAGTATACCATTCCGAAACACTGCCTGGAGACTGGTTTAGTGAATTCAGCTGCAAAATACTGCTCGGCCAAGAGAATGGATCTTGCTTGGATGAGAGGTCCTTAATCCATGTCTCCTGATAAGAATCACTTTGGGACATCGTTGGAATAGGAGAGTAAACAACTACATGTTTCCCTTGTTTACTGGATTCATTCTCAGTAGATGGTTGCAACTTTCCAATCCTGTGTCCGGGAAGCTGAGAGCCAGCTGACCCTTTGAATAGCTTCAGTACCTGAAAATGAAATACAATGGAACTAGTATTCTTTTTGAGAAGAAAATAAGCAATAATCACATGAGAAAGGATCGGACTTGCAAGCCTTGCAAGACTCACACGCCAACATGCAAACATACAAATCAAAGAATACTCACCCATGCAACGAAGGTGTACCGATATAAACTGGCATTCAAAGCAAACGTACATTCATAACAATAAAAAGCAGCTCTTTTTAAACCACGGCATATTTAGATCGCTGGATAGTATACATTTCGCTTCACGAAAATTTGAAAACATAACCTTATCCTACACATTGACAGCGTTTCCCAGAATAGTGCAACATTGATTGCTTATAGGCCTTAGCTTATTAAGTAAGGAATCTCTTTTACGTTCTTTTTTTATAAAAATTTCATGCAAGAGAATTGTTTAGAAAATTATTTATGTTCAAGGGCAGTGCGAAATAACAAATTGTAGTTGGAGGTCACTTCATAACTTGTACAACGAGGGGTGTGAAGTGGAATGTCATAGAATGGAGGACACTGTATTATTTGAAGTCACCTTTTCTGCCTTTGCTAGGTAGGTCCAGAGCTTTCGCCATGTGGAGAATTTCTTCTTCTCACTGAAGTTATACTGCATCTCTTTGGAGGCATAGCGAGAGGAAAACGGCGAACGGTATTCGCAACTCGCGTCACCCTGAGAGTACCCCTGATCCATGATGTAACAAGAGGAATTAACACGATCTAACGAGAATCAGACACGACGGGTAACGATGGACCGCGAGCGCAAGCCACACGTGGAGGCTGAACAGTGACTGACTGCTGCTTCTGCTCGCTCGAGCCCGAGCCCGCTCAGCTGATCGCGCGCCGGCTCGGCGCGGCGGAGGGAGGGGAGGGGGAAGGGGAGCGGAGCCGAGAGTAAACAAGTGCAGTATCGGGCACAACTGACATTAGATTGGCTTCCATTATAAACAGGAGAATCGATTACATAAGGCCAATTACAACAGAAGCAAAAGTTGCTGTCGGCAACCGACAGAGACAAAAAATCAACATAACGAGGCGTGACCACACGGGCGGTCACACCATAAGACCTTATGGTCACACCAAAGAAAAGGCTTTGGGTGCGTCCCGCTCGCATCACGTCCCTAGGAAAACGTTTTTCTCACGAAGACCTCAGTGTGACCTCTGAGGTCACGATTCTTGTACTTGTGAGGTCACTGGTGAGGTCACAAGTGCAAAGAACTGCGACCTCGAAAGTCATAAAGAGGTCACAATGATGTCTTCGTGAGAACCACGTTTTCCTTGGGGTGCAACATTACAGCCAATCCGAAGGTAAAGAACCCTTTACATTCGGTGTGACTTCCCTCGAGGCCGCGCTGGCACATGATGACGTTCAGTCCAGCGCAGGTCAAGTGAAAAATTGAATTTTGCTCTCTGCGAGTGGAATGCATGCAGGAACTTTTGCTCTGGTGTGACCGCCCACGAGGTCACAGCCTCCCTCCAACAGCGGATGGGGTCGCCCATATTTAGCTGACGTTGCGAATGTGTAAGGAAACCTTTAAGACAAGGGAGAGCCCCC